AACCATGTAACTAGTGAGAGAAAGAAAATGAAATCACTTCTGCTTAAAATCTCTCGATGTCGTCTTTTAACCTATTAAGGTGATCGGCTCAGGTGGCTTTATGGCAACCCAGTCATGTGTATGGTAAGGAGTCACTAGAAGCCATTATCAAAGTTAGTAAATCTATTTCTGCTCTCTGCAAGCTTTACTCACGTAGATTGATCTGCCCATCTCTCTTGCTGACCAACAATTAGGGAAAGAGCAGGAAGTGCTGTGAGGAGAGGGAGGAGAAAGAATACGAGACCTACTAGGCAGATATGCACAAACAACACAGATCCAGAAAAAAGATGCTAATTGGTATTTTTACATTGGTATGCAAGAGGGAAATCAAGGCTCATTTAAAAAAATACTCACTTTCTGGGCCAGGCACGGTGGCTCATGCCTGTAATCCCAGCACTTTGGGAGGCCGAGGCAAGTGGATCAAGAAGTCAGGAGTTCAAGACCAGCCTCGCCAAGATGGGGAAACCCTGTCTCTACTAAAAATACAAAAATTAGCTGGACATGGTGGCAGGCACCTGCAATCCCAATTACTCGGGAGGATGAGGCAGAGAATTGCTTGAACCCAGGGGGTGGAGGTTGCAGTGAGCAAAGATCGTGCCACTGCATTCCAGCCTGGGCAACAGAGCGAGACTCCATCTCAAAAACAAACAAACAAACAAACACAAAACAAAACCTCACTTTCCTGTAACGACCTACAACTTTGTGCACTGATTGGGTCTTCTCACATACTTTTGTGTTTTGGATGCTGGAACAGTCATCAGCATAGACTAATTTTGATACTGATGATCTCTAAATTCTTCCGGCAAGAGGGCATGGTTAATAAAAGTTAAAAAAACAAAATTGATTCATATATATGTGTGTATATGTGTATATACACACACATATATATAATGTTTAGAATCCAAAATCAAATATGTGTTTGTGTACTCTAAGAGAAAACCTTGTTAGTTAAATATTGATATGAGGGTCTGTCACTTAGTGGCAAAAATTCTTCAAATGTCAAATCGTAAAGATCTCTTCCTCAATTGTGGGTTTCTTGCAATCGTGTGCTGGATGCCTACACTACCACAAAGCTCTCTGGGAAATGCTCTTTGGCAGCTGAACTTGGAAATTATGATGAAAAACACTCACTAGCACAAGTTGTGTAAAAAGATGGTGATGCTACTTTCAGAAAATTTAATAGCTGTTTGCATTTATTTATACACATAAGTGCCATCACCATATTAATATAAACTGTTTCTATTAAAAGTCAAAGGAAGTGAAAAAGAGAAGAGGGAGATTCCTAGAGAAAAAAGAGAAGCACAGAATCAGCAGCCTCTACCTTCCCAAACCATTTCAAAAATCACCCTACCCATCAGGAGGATTTAAAATTTTCCCACTTTATAAAAGGAAGGGAAATAATTCTCGATTGGAGAGAAGTGACCTTATGATCAAGCCATTACATTGTTTCCCCACTTTTCAACGTATGAGTAAAGAGGACAAGACATAGCTACCCACCTTCTGTAGCAAGGCAGGCCTGAGGTTGCACTAGCTTCATGTCCAGGTCACAGTCAGTGTCGCATCTACCGTGGCTTCCACTTGCAGCTCAGATGCAGTTCTGCATCTGATGCATTCGATGGCATGTGATGGCTTTTTCCGGGTATAGTATCGGAGTGATATATGAGAAAGGAATCAGAAACGGGTTGAGTCTTGCAGTGCACAGTGTCTTCATACCCTTGACTAAAAATGCTAACAAGGGGAACTTTGCAGGGCTCTAAAACAGCTCTCAGTCATACTGTAGTATATACAGTGCTCCCCGCTTTGGCCTGGCATTAAGATCCTTTTGAAAGGCCGGGCAAGGTGGCTCATGCCTGTAATCCCAGCACTTTGGGAGGCCGAGGTGGGGAGATCACCTGAGGTCGGGAGTTCGAGACCAGCCTCACTGTTTTTTTCATATGAAAGGAGTCATTCACATCAATGAGTGCTTTGTGGGCACTGGGGTCAGAAAATAGGCAGCCGTACAAGGCAGTAGGTACCCGTTTCCATTCTTAACTAGGCTAGTCAGTTGAAATGCCCAATATATGTACCTTTAAATCCCTTACTTAGGCTTTGAATGATTGCAAAAACCAAGTTTTGTTTACGAATTTAGTTTTCCTGTATTCTCAGTGCTAGCGACGGAGCACTTTCTTCTCTTTCTACTGACAATGAGGCTCAGCTCTTGACAATGTAAACTCTGTAAGAAACTCTAGAATTTTGACACATTGTTGTATTCACTCATTAAGCAACAAAGCCCCTTTCCCAAATAAATAGACTTGAGGTCTAGATCATGAAGGCCTGAAGAAGTCAAGTTAGGTGCAGAAGAGCCGTCTTTTGAAGAAGTTCACCATGAAAACAGTGCGCGGGCACAGAGTGGCTGCAGCTATTGCTTGTGAGGATAAACGAGATAATGGATACTCACGCGCTAAATTGTGTCTTTTCCCCACAACCCCTGCCCCAAATCCACATGTTGAAGTCCTGACTCTCAGTGCCTCAGAATGTGACTGTACTTGGAGACAGCACCTTTGAAGAGGTAATTCAGATAAAATAAGGTCATATGAGTGGACCTTAATACAATATGACTGATATCCTTATAAGAAGAGGAGATCAGGACACAGTACGCACACTGAGGAGTGACCATGTGAGGACATAATGAGAGGAAACCATCTACAAGCCAAGGAGAGAGGCCTCACAAGAAACTAAACCTGACAGCACCTTGACCTTGGATGTCCACCCTCCAGAACTGTGGGAAAATAAATTTCTGTAGTTTAAGGGACCCTATTTGTGGTATTTTGTTATGGCAACCCTAGCAAACTAATACAGATTTGAAAGTATTGGTAATTTATGAAGTATTATACAAATGTTAGTTATTATTATGTGATTATGTTGCACTGGAATAATGTTGTTATTCTAAAAATAAGAGTGAGGGAGGAAGACGTATCATGAAGGAGCTAGGGAGTGGAAAGCGACCTGGACATTAAAAAGGAATGTCGTTGAGTAAAAATGGATTGAATGCTAGGTGCTTGGTTGTACCAAGATGAGGAAACTATGCATTTTGACCCCTAGCAAATGTCAACATGATAAGGAAGATGCTGAAAGAAGCTCGGGGAGTGGGGGAAAGGCAATTACTTCTTGTTGGGTGTGATGAGTGGAGGTGGGGAAGGGGGAGTTTGCAAAGTTTTCATAAAAATAATGTAACATTGAAGGTTCAAAAATGAAGACTTTTCCAAGTCAATGAAGTGAGGGCAGCGGAGAAAGCAAGTTCAGCAGCACTGTTACATGGGTGTGCCATGTCACTGGGAAGAGCACGCACTGTGCTGGCAGGACATGAAACAGAGGGGACAGTGCTAGGGGATAAGGTTGAGAAATGGTTGGCGTCAATTTGTGAAGGGCCTCAAATGCTGTGTGAAGGGACCTGGACTTTACCATAAAGACAATGAAGAAGAAAAAGTATATATGTATTTTATTCTCTCAATAGTTCTTTACCTTCTGATTTTATCTGCTTTTCTCACTTTCATCTTCATACCTTTACCCAGACTTCAAGTGCTGTCTTTCCCAGTCCACTGGGTTCCATCAGCCAAATGTTCCTTTAAGTCTATCTTTTCTGAAGACTTAGCTGATTTTCTATTGAGTCCATTCTTGAAAGCTAATCAGTAACCTGGATGTCCTACCCTGTGCAAGGTTTGTCACCAATTTGATGGATCTTTTAGGAAAAGTCATTTTTGCAATTTGTTAAGAACTGACAATAATGGTCATTTAGAGAGGTCTTGTCAGCCAAACTGTGATGGGGCCAAAACATAGATTAATTGGGAGAGTAAAATGTGTCTAAAAGTTGACATATACCCTGTTGTCTAGTCTGGGCATTCTCTCCCTCTCTGTGTCTGAATTAAAATAACATCCATCAATTATGGAACACAGCCAAACAGTTAAATATAAGTTATGAGATTAATTGGAAATGCATGGCAATTCTTGAACAAGTTTCAAGAGAAACCTTTATTGACTCATGTTTATATATCACAGGGAATAATGAAAGTCACATTCATCCTTTACTTAAAACAAACGCTCATCACATCTACTTAAATAGCTCTAGAGAAACTTTTGACTATGGTGGGTAAGCTGTAACATTACAGAATATGCAGCTCACCACTATTATCTGGTGAAAAAATGGGCTGAAAGTCTCAAAAGGCAGAAAAACTCTCATTACCACATTTTCTGCTCCCATATAACAACTTGTAAATTAGAAGTAAATGTACATGCCTCTGATCTCAAACTATCTTCAGTACACTAATAAAATGCTTCCATATTGGCCAAGAGTTAGTTTTTATATTTTTAGAATTTATTCTTCTAATAAATCTAAAATATTTAATACATAATTTTCGTTATAGAAAGGAAATTCTTAGAGTATCAGTATAAATGAGGTGGTTAGGAATAAGAACTCCGGCGTCAGATTACCGAGGTTCAAGTCCTGGTTCTCCAGTTTGTAGTGACCTTGCCTAAGTCATTTTTAATCTCCTTGTACCTTAGAGAATTACCATGAAGATTAAGTAAGGTAATGGAAGTACAATGCATGCATAGCACAGTAGTGGGTAAAAACAACAATGTGCTACATAGAAAAGAATTATTTTCTGCTAGATGCTGCGTCTCTAAATAGATTTTTAAAGCTCTAGTGTACACCTGTCTCTTTCCACATGGAATGAAGTGAGTTGACAAGGAAGTCATAACAGAATGCCTGATATGACTCCCATCTACAACTATAACTCCTCTGCCAGTGGGCAAGAAATGATAATGCTGATGTAATTGATAAGTCACAATTGCAGAAAAATCAGTTCATTTACAAGTTGCAACAAGTGGCTCAGAAGAAATTGACTTTTACGCGGCTCTAAGCATGGAGGTCAGGGAGTTTGTGTTGAAGAGAATACTTTTGAACCTTTGAAGCAAAACAGATGTTCATACCTAGGCAGAAAGGTTTATTTTGGGCCTTACTGTTGAACAAAAGAGGCGCAAAGTGTAATATTAAAATACTTAGTCCAGCTTTGCACCAGGAGACTGTGCTGAGAACAGTTAGAGTGAAGATCTCACTCCTCAAGCAGGGTGGTAGAGTTCTTGTTTGTTGATCGAAGTGTTAACCAGCATGCTGCACGGATAATTTCTTCTCTGGGTAAATGGGTCACAGTTACGAGAAGCAGTGCAGGCACCATCTTGTCCATCTGGGTTTCCAGCAATGTCTGCAACTCTTAAGATGCAAAAACAGAAAAACAATGAGTTTTCACTGTTGATCTTGAACAGAGCAGGTACACAATCAACAGCTGTTCAACAAACTCATCTACCACTGCAAAGTTGATTTCTTTGGGGGTGAGATGTGGATAAAGATTCTCCTATCTTTCTGACACTCAGCACCCATTTTGTCTGGTCCTGTGGTATGTTTTGCCTGAGGAATTTTCCATCATCACATCAAATAAAGCTAATGTTAAAATATTTGCCATGTCCTCAATTTTTCTGGTTTTTCATTTTAGCAGAAATTCTACTTATAATATGATTGAAATGAAAATGACTCTCTCTAGTTCTGAAAATGATATTCAGGTTATGGTTATTAAAAACAAAACAGAGAAATGGAACTCTAAATGAACATTTAAGACAAAATCTAATGATGATAAAAATCAGCAATATCAGAGAGCACTTGCTGTTAATTTGGTGATGTTATTCAGAGAGGTGAGGCATGCGATATAAACATGGGGCAGGGGAAAAAGTATATATTTTTATTAATAAATAGTAAAAGCACAAGAAGAAAACAAAATTCTTTTCACAATACCATCCAACTTAAAAGTTCAATAAACAATTCTCACATGGCAGTTTCCTCTCTAAACTGAGAAATTCTTTTGTAACTAAAACTGTCATGAAGTTGCCACATTAGACTAATGACCTTTAGTTATAATTGGATAATCAAATTTTAAATTGTCAAGAAATGGAACTGAAATTCATGGAATTTGCCAAGAGAATAACTCTTTGATACATATTTGACAATCTGAAAAATACCACAAGCTTCTATTGCATTATCCAAGGGCAAAGCAAGCACCTGAATATTCTTTTTAAAAGCATTTCCCTCCATGATCTCAGGATTAAAAAATATCTCAGTCACGTTTGATGAATTTGTAATACATTTGCTTCAAATTTCCTTTGGAGTAATTTTATCAGAGATGATTTTCCATGAATCCGGTCCTCGGTATAGGTTATCTTACAGCTAACTTCTTATTGTAATGACATTTAACCACATACTTACAATGCTGCCCAGTCTCCAATTATTAACTGAGAATATGGAAAAAACAATTCTTAAACTGGGTGAAATTTGTAATGAATAGGAATTAAACATCTTTAATGTGTGTGGATTAAGAAGACTATCCTTTACTGAATTTTATTTCACACTGAAATGTTGACATTAGAGGTGATATTGACAAAAGTGAGGCTGATCAATATTGAACCCTAAGGGTCAAAGGACTTCATGTTTGGTGTAATAAGCAACTTAGTTTAGATATTACAGTGTTTCAGTAAAGTAACAATTATTAAGGGTCAGGGGAGCTTTCCATTATAAACTGTAATTTGGGGAGGCTTGTATATTTCCAGTCTCCAAAGGAAGGTGATAGTATGATCAAGCAAGATGGTGGCTTGGAAATAAAGAGAAAGCGAGTCATTAAATTTGAATTTGAGGAATGAAATTATTTCCATTTTTTAGATTCAAAACTTTTCTTATCATCTCCATTGATCTTTAATGAAATCACTAAACCCAGGACACTTTGGACGAAAGGTAAATCTCATTTAAAATTTTAAATGGCTGGAAATCTTTTCTCGTGAAAATTATCTAGCACATACAAGAAGTCTATAAATTATAAATACTACTGAAAGGAGCTCTGTATCAATTCAGCTAGATACGGTTCAATGAAACATCTTCTACACTTTCCACTTAGTCTCTGTGCAGAATGTTAGCACCACATGGAAATCGTTACTCTTCACTCGAACATACTTGATCATGTTTGCCTACTCAATTGCTTAAGATTTCATTTTTCAGCAAATATTACTGTTTATTTAACTAAGAAATAATGCTTTAATTATTTACTTAAAATTTTGTGTTGGACACATTGTGATTTGAACTTCAGAAAAAGCAAACAATAAGGTAAATATAATATATACCAAATATTTTATAAAAAATAATGATGAAATAAAAAATGGGTAACTTCTTAGAAGTAGATATTGCCTGGCTTAGAATTCAACAAATAATTCATTCCCTTATTATTTTGTTAAATTAACACAAAAAAGTTTAAGATTACGGACTTTGGGTTTAATAAAAATTGCATATCTGAGCACAGAGGAGGAGGCCTAGAGTACTAACTCCAGTACTGTCTATACCGGGCCCAAATAAACAAAACTTGTGAATCTTGAAGTCCTTCCTTGGGCAGACACTAAGTGCTCTGCCCATTTGTTACCCTTCGTTTTGAATTTAGAATGTACAGATATGTTCAAACAACAGAAGTGGGCATTGATCAGTCAGGGAAGAAGCCATGCACTTTCAGTTTCCATTACATTAAACAAAATACTCATTAGTGCTTGGCATTTTCCCAAACAGACACAATCAAGGTGTCCACTGAGGGCTTGCCGTGCAGTTAAGAAGTTTAAAAAGACCTAGACGTCAGCTAGGCACAATTAAGAGATGGGTTAAACTATTCCAGGGTAAGAAGGCTGGAATTACTGGAAACAAACACATGTAGAAAATCAACTGCAAATAGACAAACCACTTTATTTTTAAGATCAGTTAGATATTCAAAGAGACAAAGACTAAAGATTCCTCTGCTTAATAATTATTGCCCTCCTTGATGAAATCACAATACACTTTACTATGGGAGTATTCAGGTACATTAAAACTAAGTCACGTCTAGATATGTGGCAGAAAAAAAAAACCTGATGGAAATCTGTCATCACAACATAATTGTTCCTATCCTTTACTCAACAAGGGAACTAAGTGCTGCTACTACTAACAGGTCATAATAATGTAAGTTAGCTCAGAAATCCATATCCATTAAAACTGTTGAAACATGTTTTATGCTAAACATCCACCCCTAGATCCTCTTAGAACAGCTTCTAGAAAATATTACTGAGAGCAAATACTTGCATGCAGATCAGATCAACTAAACTGTTTTTCCAACTATTTCCTTCTTTCCTTCATTCTTTCTGTTTCCCCTGTTGTCTCTTTTTGCCATCCATCCGACATTCATTAAGTACTATCTGCCAGGTACTGTGCCAAGTGCCAAGCCTATAAGAGTGAACAAGACAGACAAGGGTTATGTGTACATGAAGTTATAGTCTAGCACATGCTGCAAAAGCTTTTATATGACCTTTGCTGCTGTTGGTATTAAAACAACTACATTTGAGAAATCTTAAGACTAGTATCATAAGTTAAACTTCAAAATATCATTCATGTTACCTGTTCTTCACTCTCTGGGTAGGGGAATGAGAAGCAATGCTTTTCGTATCAAAACTTCTCTTACTATTTTTTTATTTTTATTTTTTTGAGATGGAGCCTTGCTCTGTCACCCAGGCTGGAGCGCAATGGCACGATCTCGGCTCACTACAACCTCTGCCTCCTGGGTTCAAACAGTTCTCCTGCCTCAGCCTCCTGAGGAGCTGGGATTACAGGTGTCCGCCACCATGCCTGGCTAATTTTTTTGTATTTTCAGTAGAGACAGGGTTTCACCACGTTGGCCAGGCTGGTCTCAAACTCCTGACCTCGAGTGATCTGCCTGCCCTGGCCTCCCAAAGTACTAGGATTACAGGCATGAGCCACCGCACCTGGCACCTTCTCTTATTTTAAAGTGACATTTATCTTTGAACTTTGGCTGATGCAATCTAATTTACCAGGAAGTTCTAGGAACAAATGTTAAATATAAACTCTTTCTCAAAAGGATGCTGTGTAATCTTTTCACAAGAAGTGTATGAAAGAATAGGCAAAAGGAAAGAACGTATACTTAACATGGAACATGAAAACCTCCTTGAGTTTGCCACAGTATATTCTCCCTGCTTTTTAAGTCAAAGACACCATTCTATCAGTACTTAACATGGATCTTTAAATCCCAGAGCTAATAATGCTTCCCAGCTACAGCTGGATGCATCTGACAAGCAGCATGTAGTAGGAAACCTCACAGGGGATAAGGTTCCTAACAGTCAACTAAGGGTTCAAATCCCAAAAGAGATGCCCCTGGAGTGCAGAGCACTTAACCCTTCGACCAGTACCAACATGACTATTCACAAATTATTGATGCTGCTAAATCCTTGGCAGATTGCAGACAGTTCTTGTATCCATTGAAGCTGAAGCATATGGCCACTAATGAGATAGATTTTTAAAAAATACATATACACATTCAGTCTTTGCTACATGAATGTAAATCCACGGAAATGCTAGAGGGTGATTGAACTGGATGGAACACTGTTAAATACATGCTTAGTCTCATGTTATGGATCATTTCCATTGACATCTATCTGCATCCTCAGTACAGTTTAATTAAAGCTGTCTGGAGCAAGTCTGCCCTCTAAATGATCAGCAGTGCAATGAAAAGGTGAAATTTGAGGAGGCTTGAGGCCTTTTCTGTAAAGCATTCAAATGACTGTCTCTGTGGTTGAGAAGAGCAGCAGAGAAGAAACTCATTTTCAAAATTAGCCGGCCATTATACCTTTTTTTTTTTTTTTTTCAAAAAAAGGCAAAGCTTCTTCTGATGTCATCTTGAAATACCAGAAGCTGAGTTAGTTAGTCATATAGCAGATCTTAAGAACTCAAACTGGACCATGTTCTAGTCCCAAATAAACATGTTTTTTTGACTTGAAAACAGTAAATACTGTAGCAAACTTTCTTAGTATTTTATTTTGCAAAACAAAATCCCCAAATTGAACTATTTTGCCTAAATAATCCCTTAAGACAATTTTGCAACTAGATGGCAGGAACATCATCTGTTAGATATTTTCAAACAACTAAAATGTTTATTGAATTCTCTGATGTTTCCAGCACTTGTTAAAGTACCAGGGGAAAAAGAATAAAATGTGGATCTAGCATATAAGAAATGTGAGACATAAAAGACTGGATTTTAAATTTATTAATTTGTATTTATTTTCTCTGGCATTTTCCTTTATTATGATTTTATTTAAATATATATAGATTAAATTATATTTGTTCTTTAATTCCAGAATTAATGGTACTTTATAAAAGTATCAAAAAGACTTCAATTTTTAAAGTGTCATTTTTAATATTGTTTTCATTGGCTTTTCCACACAAATCCATCAGTTATGGTGTAGGCTTTTTCTTTTCATTTAATATTTATTTGATATCTACTTCATATAGGATATTGAATTACACTCTGTGCCTAACACCCACTATCTGCCACCACAAAACAAAAATAGTCTCTCCCTGTCTAGTATAACATGTTTATCCAGGATGGGGAAAACTTAAGAGTAGCAGTAACCCAAAAAAGCATCCCTCAATTCACTCCATTCAGGAGTACAGATGATTTTAGCCCTAGTCAGACCTAGAAGATATTATATTGAAGCAAATAAGCAATATTTATCGAGTGCTTTGTGTGCATTGGCACTGTGGTGGGAACTTTGGGAAACGGGATTCCAGTACAAGCTTCCTCAATGAACTTACAAACTGGGAAGACAGACACATTGAAAGTCATCAAGGAATGATGGAGTCAGATGAGTAAAAACTGGAGTGATGTTAAAGGCATTTTGAAGAAGATGAAGCTTGGGGTGGGCTTTGAAGAATGAGGCCAGAGGTCCAGGCCAGAAATATCATAACAGGCACACAGGGGCTGAAGGGCCAGGTACAAAATTGCCCGGCCTGGAGTGGATGCTTTGTGTTGAGAACAGCTGGGGTCTAATCAGAACAGAAACTACTTGAGTTTATTTTAAACAGAAGGAATTTAATACAGGGACTTGATTTTAAAGGTGACCAAAGGCTGGGATGATGAACAGGAGACAGGATAGCAATTTAGAGATGAGCAACTTCAGGAAGCTGCCAGCAATACTTTGGTTGGAATGACAAGGGAGAATATAGAGTTTCTGGAGCTCAGAAACCAGGGTCACTCAGAGGATGATGGAACTAGAGAAGGCTTAACCAGTTGGATCTGGAGCAAAGGAGGAATGAAGATGCAATCATTTCCAGAGATCTGTATGAAGCAGAGAGAAGGAGAAATAACTTGACTTCTGCCACCCCCCAATCTCCCAGCAATGTCTCTTATTTGCCAGGCCCAGTCTGAAGTTGACAAGGAGCCTAGGAAAATCATCCTGCAGGGGTCAGCTTCCCTGTGATACAGAACAGGAAGGGGAAGGCGAGGACTATGTATGACAAACAGGCTAATGATTAACAAACAGAGACTAATGCAAAATTGTAAGATTATTATAGAAGGACCCTTTTATATAATGGGTTATGAATGTCAGGGACAGGAATTTAAACCAAATAGGCTAGAGGAAGCCATTTTAGGTTTTTGAGAAGGGGGAAGATAGAATGAAACTGAGATTTCAGAAATATATGGCCAGAGTATGAAAAAAGATTTGAGGCAGGGTGACCAGTTAGGAGGGATTAACAGATTAAAGATGGCCACAAGCTCCTTGACATTCCTCCCCTTGAAAGGTAGGGTGTATTTCCTTTCCCCATGAATCTCAGATGATCTATGGAAGAAGTGACACTGTACCAGTAGTCTTTAAGAGGACTGGGAGATTACATTTTGGTATCTTGGAGTCCTGAATTGCCATATAAGAAGTCTAACTATCCTGCAGAAAAAGGTCATCTGGAGAAGCCCAGAGAATATGGGGCAGGCAAAAGGGCTCAGCTGAATCCAGTTTCCAGCTGTTGCTCACCAAGGCACCAGACATGTGAGTAAAGCTGCCTTAAACCCTCAAGACAGGCCCAGCTACCAGATGAATTCCGATGACTGACTGTTGTTAATGAATCATTCAGCTGAGCCTTGCCTAAATTTCTGATCCACAAAATGATGAGTTATCATACAATGGTCTTTGTTTAAGCTCACTAAGTTTTGGAATATTCTATTATGCAGCAGCATATAACTAGAGTGGAGGCTATGCAGTAATATGAATATATCAAGATAAATCCCCCAAATTAAAGTTGTAGTAGGAATGGAGAAGAGGCACAATTTTTGGAAGAGATCCTGAGTTTTTTTGTGTTTATAATGGGTTGACAATTTTTTTTTTTTTCTGAAGATGGTCACATAGCAAATATTTTTGACTTTGTGAGCCAACATATCTTTGTTGCTACTACCCAACTCTGTCACAAGGCAAAAGAAGCCACAGACGATATGTAAATGAATATGTGTAGCTGAGTTTCAATAAAACTTTATTATAAAAACAGGTGGCTGACTAGCATTGGCTGTGGGACATACATTGCTGACCTCTGGTTTGTTTATTTATTTATTTATTTATTTATTTATTTAATTTATTTATTTGAGACGGAGTCTCGCTCTGTCGCCCAGGCTGGAGTGCAGTGGCCGGATCTCAGCACACTGCAAGCTCCGCCTCCCGGATTTACACCATTCTCCTGCCTCAGCCTCACGAGTAGCTGGGACTACAGGCGCCCGCCACCACGCCCGGCTAGTTTTTTTTTTTATTTTTTATTTTTTAGTAGAGATGGGGTTTCACTGTGTTAGCCAGGATAGTCTCGATCTCCTGACCCCGTGATCTGCCCGTCTTGGCCTCCCAAAGTGCTGGGATTACAGGCTTGAGCCACCGCGCCCAGCCTGACCCTCTGGTTTATAAGGTTTGAAGTAGGAAGGAAAATTCAACTGGAGATATGTTACATCTAGATAACACACAGGAATGGAGCTTTGTGACGTTTCAGGACGGGAGTATAGATTGAAGAATAGCTAAATATTCTGGAAGAGGGACTACAACATTGGTGTTATATGTTTTTAAGGTTGCTTCTGCTTTGTTGTTTCTTTTAAGAGACATTTGGATAGTTAGTAAACACACTAGTGGGCTCAGGAATTACTTTAATCTATAAGATGGTTCCACTGAGCCAGGGAACTTATAATATGCAGACAATCAGAGAACAACATTAAATAGACTTTCAGTTACATCTAGGTCTGCTCTCAATGGTTTTCAGATTTGTACAATTTCAACCCAATATATTTTATGAGTAAATTGGACTATTCTAGTACCATTTATTTTCTGTGTGTGGCTAATACCATTCTAATTTTTAATTTATATCACATTCATGATTTATTTGAACAATTATGAGTTCGGCAATATTTC